GTAGAATCTGCCGTATGATTGGCCAGTCCAGCTAACAGAGATGTGGGGTTCCGGCTTAAAATAGCCGCCTATACTTAATTTCGGTTAGAGCGAGATGAAGTACTCTAGCTTGTTATTCTTTCATGTTGGGTGAGAAAGATGTAACTAGATACTTCAATTCTTACAAACTTCAATCACATTCTATGGAAAGTGTGCTCGGTATATCTGTGCAGTCTGTCATACCTTAATCAATTCGAACCGGCTTGGCATCAGGGATTTCAGGGATTGCATTTCGGGCTTCCAGCTTATACACCCCAAGTACATGTTCCACATTGGTTCCAGGCTGGTACATGATGAATCCATTTAATCGGCCTTATTCATTTCACTATGCACCACAAGGCGATGAAAGTGACGACCTGAATGATGGTCATTCCCCTCGGGTAAGTGTATACGAAGTGGAAATTGCTTGATCTGCGGACATGCGGCAAACCGAACTGATCTAACATTCCCGGTTGCTGCCAGAACACTGAACCCCCAAATGAGCACGCCCTCTCCCTACTTCATCCGGCCCATTCTTCTGCCTTGTCTATCAGTCCCTTCGATGACCCAGTCTCCTCGAGTGAAATTACTCATCGACCTTACAACTATTCATCTGCTGAGGCTCAAAGCCCCGGACCAGAGTCAATGGAATCACTAGATCTCCCCGATCAGATCAGATTACACGACCTTTCTAACCAGGACTCCGCTATCTCCTCTTCCAAAGAGTCGGGGCCACGACACAAGGGCAGTAGCATCCGTCGATATCCAACTCGGCGAATCAAGTTGACACAAGGCTCGGTCTTGAGTATCAATTATCCGGTACCGAGTCCTATACGCAATGCTATTCAGCCTGAGTATCGAGATGCGGAGGGGGAACTTTCTGAAGAATTCACGCAAATGAGATGTGAGCAGTCGCACCAATGTGCCAGTTGATTCAACCCCGTCATAATAAGCTGACTTTTTTCTTTCTTTTCTTATCAGACACTGCCGCGACATGTGACCCCGATGAATTTACGCTACGCAATGGTTACAATCTCCGTCCTTCGATGTACAATCGGCACACTGAACTTCTCATTGCTGTCACATACTACAACGAGGATAAAGTATTGACCGCCCGAACCTTGCATGGGGTAATGCAAAACGTTCGAGATATCGTCAAATTGAAGAAGACAGAATTTTGGGATAGAGGTGGTCCCGCATGGCAGAAAATCGTCGTCTGTCTTGTCTTCGACGGCATGGATCCCTGCGACAAAAACACACTTGACGTTCTAGCAACCATTGGTGTTTTTCAAGATGGCGTGATGAAGCAAGATGTGGATGGAAGAGAGACGATCGCTCATATTGTTTGTTTTCTCACCTAACCCTTCTAGATTCCAATACTCGGAAAGATGTTCAAATGCTGATGGTTCCTAGTTTGAGTATACCACACAGTTGTCGGTTACCCCGAAGCAAGAGCTTGTGCGCCCATACAAAGACGACCCTATGAATTTGCCCCCGGTACAGATGATGTTTTGCCTCAAGAAAAAGAATGCAAAGAAGATCAACTCACATCGGTGGCTGTTCAATGCATTTGGGCGGATTTTGAACCCCGAGATCTGCATCCTGATTGACGCTGGCACAAAACCCGGACCTAAGTCCTTGCTCGCTCTGTGGCAGGCTTTCTATAACGACAAGAACCTCGGCGGTGCCTGCGGTGAAATTCATGCGCTTCTCGGCCACCGATGGAAGAAGCTCCTCAATCCCTTGGTTGCGGCCCAAAACTTTGAATACAAAATCTCGAATATCCTGGACAAGCCTTTAGAGAGCAGCTTCGGTTATGTGAGCGTTCTTCCCGGTGCTTTTTCTGCCTATCGATATCGCGCTATTATGGGAAGGCCCCTTGAGCAGTATTTCCATGGAGATCATACACTAGCTCAAAAGCTCGGCAAGAAAGGAATTGACGGGATGAATATCTTTAAGAAGAACATGTTCCTGGCTGAAGATCGCATTCTTTGCTTTGAGCTAGTCGCTAAGGCCGGAAATCAGTGGCTACTCACATACGTGAAAGCGTCCAAAGGAGAAACAGACGTCCCGGAACGACCAGCAGAGTTCCTAAGTCAACGGCGGCGATGGCTGAATGGCTCTTTTGCGGCATCGCTATATTCGGTCATGCATTTTAACCGGATCTATAAGAGTGGGCATAGTATCTTTCGGTTGCTATTGCTTCATATCCAATTGGTTTACAATATCTGCCAGCTGATCATGACATGGCTTTCACTCGGTAAGTCGATGGTGCTCTTTGGATCTTAGATTAGTCCTATGACAAACCACTGACATATACTAGCGTCCTACTGGCTCACAAGTTCCGTGATCTTGGACATTGTGGGAACGCCAAGTGCGACTAACAAGAATAAAGGGTGGCCTTTTGGGAATGAGGCTACCCCGATTGTCAACAACATGTTGAAAATCGGTTATCTGGCGGTCCTTATGCTTCAATTCATTTTAGCACTCGGAAATCGACCAAAAGGGTAAGTATTAGGGCCTGGAGATAAGTACTCCTTCGCTTTGTAGCTAACATTCAATCACAGATCCAAATTTCTCTACACGCTGTCCTTCCTCTACTTCTCTGTGGTCCAGGCCTATCTCCTCGTTTTATCGTTCTATCTCGTTGCGCAGGCAATGACGCCCGAGAATCTCACTTTTGATGTCCATCATGGTTTTGGGGCACTCATATCGGGCTTTATTGCCTCAACAGGTGGGCTTGTTCTGATTGCCCTGGTCTCAACATACGGGATCTACTTCCTTGCTAGCATACTCTACGCCGACCCTTGGCATATGATCACTTCATCGTGGGCCTATTTCCTCGGAATGCCTTCTTCGATCAATGTTCTCATGGTCTATGCATTTTGCAATTGGCATGATGTTTCCTGGGGCACAAAGGGATCAGATGCACCCGAAAAACTTCCCTCGGCGCAAACCAAAAAGGAAGATGAAACGCCTTTTGTTGAAGAACTAGACAAGCCTCAAGTCGACATTGATGAGCAATTCGCAACTACTGTGAAGCGGGCCTTGACTCCCTGGCAAGAACCGATTGAGAACGAAGGGGTGGCTCTCGACGATTCATACAAAGCATTCCGAACGAATCTAGTGTTGCTGTGGACCTTCAGTAACGGTCTTCTGGCGTTGTGTATCAACAACCTCAGCATTGATAGGCTTTGCCTAACGGTAAGTCGAGTTTGAGTTCCTGATTCTATTGTTTACATGCACTAACCAACATAGTCGACATCTACACCTCGCACGGCGTGGTATTTCAAAATCATTTTGTGGGCCACTTCTGGTCTCTCAATTTTCCGATTCTTTGGGGCGCTGTATTTCCTAGCGAAAACTGGAGTCTTGTGTTGCATTTCCAGGCGTTGAAAAGGCTCGAAATTACTGGGCTCATTTCGATCTTGAAAGACTCAAGATCATACGCCATATTAATTGCTCTTTTTCTTCCCCATTCCATTCTGGGATATTCCAAGGCTGTTAGATACCATGTGTTATGATTCCGAGAAACAATCCATGATAATAAGCTCAACTTTCTAGATTCGCCATGGCGCAAAATAGAGTTTATCTAGCCTAAATAGTACCATGGTTGCAAGAAGGTTTCAATCTTGGAAGATCCCGAGGTCCAGATCCCACCTTTTGCTTACAAATTTTTCCTGGGTCCCGCGGACCCCGAAAAAGGGTCCCAAAAAAGAGTTTTATAATGTTTTAATAGTACGGAGTAGCTGTGGGTATGTTTCATCAACACTTGTGTGGACGATTGACCGGGGAATAATGCATCCCTACATATGCAGTACATACATAGATGTATATACTGTGTACCTATCTCCCTAGGGATTCTAAGTACCTTTGAAGTATCCCCGAAGTACCCCCAAAACACCTCCAAAGTACCCCAGACTATTTGCCTCCGACGATTCTAAATGACTTATTGGACAATATATTGGTGCCAAGGAAAGGCTGCTCCGCCGCGGAACCCATTAATGCTGCCTGTTCTGCCTAGCAGCCGGTTCGCTGCTTGGGAGGAAATTTTCTGATTCAGTGTACTTTCTTATTATTTTTAAAGACCTCCCAGGCCTAGATTCACCAATATTTTACTCCACTCTCGTAGAGCGATAACTTCTTCATATCAAAACAGTTGAAATCGAGTATGTCGACCGAGCTTTCAATCGACAAACAGGGGCCTCAATTAGTGGTACGAGTCTCACCTGAAACAAAACCCCTAACTTCACCTGATACTAATGGCAGCTACAGTGTGACTTATGCCATTCACGCAAGGTAATTATCCTTGGGAAACCAATATTATGTATTCAATCTACAATTTGCTGAGCAGATACACAGGTCCGGTGCGATAGGCGCGACCCATGTGGCAATTGCCAGGATGCAGGAATCTCCTGTAATCGTCGTCGGGCTGTGAAGCGAAAGTGTCTGAGCACTCGTCCTCTGGGTGGTTACTCCCGCAGCTCTTCCCGCAGTTCCCGACGAAAAGCAACACCTGATCATCAGTTTGATGAAGGTAACTCGACGAATGAAGTCTTGCCAGTCGTCCGCTCTATCCAAAGTCGTAATTTCAACGATCCACGTGGGACCAAAACCGGGGTTGTATATGATCCGGTCTACGATGCGCAAATGACGATTCAGCATCAACTATACCATCTACCGGGTCTGACTCTAAACCGACGCAGCGTGCTTGAAACTGCGTTATCTGTCATAAAAATATTGTCTGACAATTCGAGAGCACTGTCACAAGAGAGTGTACATGATCCTCAAGAGGAAGTTTACTCTCGAAGTCCGTCTATTGAATTCCTTACATGGATGTTGAAAGGTACACCGATGTTTTAACTACCTCAATACGTTACAAAATTGACACTGACCATGAAACTCCAGATATCCGGTCTGACAGATTTGGAACTTTCGTTGTGGATTATTTCAGACATATCTCAATCCCAAAATTGAAGCAGATGGGACTTTCACTTCTTCGCAGCAAAATACCGACTCGCGAATCCATCATTTACACGGTTTGCGTCAATGCTGTTGCTTACAAGTTTATCGCTACGGTTGTAAATCTTGAAGAAGACACCGACCTTGCCCTCGAGCTGAGGAAGAATGCCAAAGAGTATCGAGCATCTGCGCAGGCGGCACTAAAGCAGATACCACTGCTGATAGCACCCTCTCTTGCGCTATTACAAGCTATAATATGTGGTGTAAGCCCCTCCCTCCTGTCGCTGTATCCTTTCTCAACTGAACTAATTCATATCTAGATATTTCTTCATCAAGGGTCTGGAGACGTGGATTTAAGTGTGGAGCTCACCAAGGCTGCCTGTAACACCTGCATTGACTTGGATCTTTCAAGAAAGGCTCTGTGTGGAAATGCAAGCGAGGAAGAGCTTTTCTGTTTCCTTTGGTGCTACACTTTGGACAGAAATCATGCATTCAAATCACGAACTTCACGATGCCTTCTCGATGTTCAGCTACCCTCGAATTTCAGCGATCTTTATCCAACTTACGCTCCGATGGCCGAACATTTCTTGATTTATCTGGATCTTGCTCGGGTGCAGGATACAGTGGTTTCATATCTACCCGATAGCTCATTGAATCCCCAGAATCTCACATTGCTATATGATACTGGAGAATACATGCTGCTGCAGATGCAATATATTGAGCAACGAATGAACAATGTGAGCCAGCAACATCCCTTTTCCTTTATGCGCAATATCCTAACCAAGTGCAGATGGCTTCATTATCATCTGAGTGGAAAGGACTCGACTCCCAGCCCGAAATGTCAGCTCTGAAGTTCGCCTATCAATCAGTCATGACCGGAATCCTATATCTCCTCCAAACCGATCCCGGCCAACCGACCCGCTCAAAAGATAGCTATCTTCAATCAGCGCGCGAGGAACTTTTAGCGCTTGTATCCATGTGTCACACGGCGGAGAAGCAAACTGCAGTCAACTTTTTGAACTGGTGAGTACTCAATACCAATAGGTATATGATCACCTCTCTAATATGCACCTCAGGACTATTCTACTTTATCCAGCGACGGCATACCTAGTCCTATTCTGCAACGTCGTTGCGACATCCGATATCGGCGATTTCAACCTCATGAAAGCTATTGCTGAGTGCCTCGGTCAAACTGGAATCAGCTACCCCCTTGTACAATTACGAACACTCTACCAGAAATTCCTAGGTCTTTCTCAAGAGTTTTTCAACGATGAGCGCAATGCGCTCCAGAGGATTAGTTCACCTCAATTGGGAAGTCCGATAACTAACCCGGTTGGAAACCCGTTTGCGATTTCGTGGGGTGCAGATGATCTGGTGTTCAACCAATTCGTTTTCACTGGGGCAGAAAGCTTTTCTAGTATGCTGAATATGCCAGAGATTGATCCATCTCTGCCGTACAGTTTCGATTAAAAAAATGTATAATACCTTGTGTTTTGGTCTGTGGATTTGGTACGGTGTTCTTGTATTGGTGGTATACACGGAGTTTCATGAATATAGGATCCAATTAATTGTTCAATTTCTATAAATAATGATGATATACAACAAAGTTCTATGAAATATTCGAGGTTATATTCTTGGTACGTACAGGTATATACCGTTGGCGTTAAGTACGGTCTTATGGTACATGACCGCGGGTTATATATCCCGTTCTACATTATTCCAACCCGAACAAGCTACGGCTTAAAAACCTATATATCTTCATACATCTACATAAATTTAAATAATATCTTCAAGGTTGCTTTAAGAGACTACATATATATAGAGATAGTGACATCACTCTTCTCATAGGTAAGATATATATATAGTCAGTATAGTCACCAATCTCATGTTGTTTTTTTCTTACCGAGGTACCACGAAACAGAAGAGAAATTCAACAAACATGGAAAGATTTCATTCCTATCTTTGAAAATGACTACATATGAAATATTGCATATCAAATCTGGAAGGAAATTTCACTCGAAAAAGGAAGAGCCCGAATTGAAGAAAGGGCATGAAAAGCCGAGATCAAGATAACAAGAAACATCTCAAAAGCAAGCAATACCTTACAAGGCCCACTATTTGATATAGATAGCCATCGAAATATTACATCAGAAGAACCGCAAATGACGAAATAAAGAGCAAAGCATATCGCGGAGCTCAAAATCAGCTTAATTGCGGCGGACATGGCACACCAGGGTGGTATACCCATGGTTCGAAACAAACAAAGAGTGTTGGAAGAACACAGTCGTGGCGGTGAGAAGAATTGAATCATAGAAACGTTGCGCCGCGTATCAAGAAATGGCAAAGTAGAAACACCGTTTTCCCATCACAAAGAAGTTGAAGTTAAAAAGACACGAACTCGCTGAATAACGGACAAGACATCATCGGTTGACAAGGGAATTGACCTAGTTGACACGGAACGAGTCGAAGATGACTGCATCACGAGTTAGTTTGAAACAATCACAAAAGGAAATATTGAAGGAGCCTACCTTCATGACCTCGGCGGCAACCGCTGCCGATCCACATCAAGGTGTTCAAGAATGTGTATCGCTCATCGCCGGTCTCCATGGACAAATTGACTCGGTACTTATAGCTGCCGGGGTTGACACCATCCGCCATGTTGGCATCAATGACCTTTTCGAGAACATCCTTGGCGCCTGTCAACCATCCTTCTGTGCGCACAATAATAAATGCGGGTGGTTCATCGACAGTCTGAAGTATATAACTCGCACGAAGGTTGGTAGTAGAATCCTTAGTGACGATCTGTGTATCTTGACCACCGGGCTGTTTTCAAAAGTTAAACACTGGACAAGGAAGGATCAGGGGTTGATATTCAGCCTTACCAGAACGATGCCCTTACCCCATCGGCCAGCCCATTGGCCGCCGATGAACGAGACCCACTCTCTTTGGCCCCAGACGCTAGGGCCAACAGACACCTTGGGGTTCATTTTGATGCTCATACGGAAATCCAGCTCCAGCGATGGCGCCGGGATTTGAAGTGATCGGGCGACATCGCCCTCAGGGAATGTGTGAAGCAGGTTGTTGGCGGGAATCGAGTCCTTCATCACGCTGAGATAGGTAGGGCATTCGAGCAGATGCTGGCGTTGGCGACTAGTGTTCTTCGCGCGAACTTGCTGGCAGTAGATACATTGAACGGACAGGCACTATTCCGCACTATTAGCTTGTATGTTCCAACGTATACGGTCGCCGAGCTCCTTCGCCATACCTTGTCTTCTTCCTTTGCGCGGAACTCAACGAAAGCTGCATGAACATCGTCTAGTGGGGGCGCAGGCAAGCTCGAACTTGTTGTCTTGGCTTTGGGTTTGGGAGTCGGACGCGAAGGCACGGCGCTTGGCGGCGCAGACGGGGGACCAGTAGGCGGAACCGGGGTTGCCATTGTAGCGCGATTCTGTAGGGCCCCCAGGGGGGTCTGCAATGGTGTAGCATGAGGGTTGACACCATTGGTCATGAGGGTGCCATTGGGAGTTGGGATAGTTCCAGGACCAGTTGGACCTGTTGGGGTGGCTGTAGGGCCATTGGGAGTTCCGGGATAGCCATTGGGAGGACCGATTCCGTTAGGGGCGGCCTGGGCGGGCTGGGAAGGCTGAGGCGCGTTGGGGTGACCGCGCAGACCTGGACATTCAAGGAGATGTTGTTTCTGTCGCGAAGTATTCTTTGCTCGAATTTGTTGGCAGTATATACACTGAACGGAGAGACACTAAAACATGCACAAACCCCAAAACGGGTTTTCGTATGTTAGTGACGGAGACAGGTCGTAGGTGAAATATTACGAAATACACAAGTCACGCACCTTGTCATCTTCCTTGGCGCGAAACTCGACAAACGCCGCGTGTACCTCCTGGTCAACAGTGCGACCCATGACGAGGGGAGTAAGGGGAGTAATAGTATCCAGGATAATAAACAAAAAAAACAGAGTAGAAGAATGGGTAAAGGGCGCGTATGGGTTGTAAAGTTGGAGGGGTCAGGGTGAGAGAAGAAAAGAAAATGGAAAGACGAAGACAGGAGAATACGCGGGTTACGCGCCCTGCGTAATTTGGAGCACTGCTTACGGTACGTGCTACTACCTGTATATTACCTAGGTACCTAAGTACCTGGGTATAGTTATTGTTTATTAGTCTATTCAGTCTATTCAATTCAATTCTATTATCCTATAATATACTATGATATACTAGATTTACTTATCTATTTCTTTGCTTTCACTTCATCACTTGCCATCCGTAACTGCTGAGATCTAACTCAACATCAGCCAACGGATGAGACCGGCGGTCGGTGCCCTAGAAATATGAAATATATAAGAAATTATATATGAATAGCTGCCTAATAAAAAGCAATTCTAAAACGGACGCCTTGAATAATCCCTACTGACAGATAATTCACTAGGAACCATGCTCAACTTTCCCTCATATAGTCCTGGAGATGTAAGGCTGTAGGCTTATCGATTGCCGAGTCGGAGAATTCGGGCAAACGAGGCACACTCGGATCAGAGACTTCTATAATTGGATTTGGTGGGGGAAGACAATTTTACTCTGCGAATCTCGCGCAATAAGCAGAAGCAAAAAGGTCCATATGTTGACGAGATAGAGTATTCATAGTCTATGTCCAAGGTATTTAATATTTCCGTTATATACTTTCTCTCGTATATCACCCGTATACTTGTTCCGTTCATTTCCAAGGTTCGCAATCGAAACATCTCCGGGTATTATTACTGTTACTGAACCTGTTGTGCTATGTATCCCATACACAATACTGTCAACTACTTCAATTACAACTTACAACATACACGTTCCTGGTAAGATTGGAGTATAAATGTGGAAAAATAAAGATTCGTGACTTGTAGATCCGTTTCAATGATCTTCAGATCCCATACCTCCTTACCCCGTGCCATATCACCTACACTTCTGTAAAAATGCTCTTCCATCTTCCACCTGCGCATTCCGGTGATGTAATACGTCAGCACAGATCGCGTCAATAGCTTCGTTCACATGTTCAGTCGTCACGGCCGTATCTCTTCATTTTCCATGTTCAATTACAGTAATGGGAGCCAGTCGCACATAGCTGAGCAGAGCCCCTAATACCTTCCATTTGAATTTCAGCGCTTCGACAGCCCACCATCAATCATGTGTTGTTCGACGTCATTGATTCGTGCTCGTCATTTAGACCTAGCGCGCACGGTTCACACTCAGTTTCCAGATAGTTGCAGGTAAATCTCGCCATAACGATAGCAGATTGCCCACTCGGTGCTCTCGTCAATGTACTCGTCTTGGTGGACATGCATTACACCCTTTGTAGCGAGTGTGAGAACGTTCATCAAAGCCTGAGTCGCGACGGCTCGTGTCGTACGACCAGGAGGAAGGAGACTCGCGAATGTGGTCTGACCGAGTCTGGCCACGACTGGGCTGGACACGTTGCTGCTCGGGGTTTGCACGTTTCCTGCGTTGCCATCGTTAGCAGTTCCCATCTTGGTCTTCATGAACTCTATGAAATTCAAGCTTTCCCGATCAAGAGTTGACTTGGCACGTTCGAGAGCGGAGCGCTTGCTTGGCGAGAGTGAGCTGATATTCTCGCGGTCTGTTGCAAGCTCGCCTTCAAGATAACGGGTAAGATCCAGGTCGTCTCCGAAATCGCCCAGGAGCTCGAGACTAAGTCGGTCTTTTCCCCCTAGATAGCTGCGCCCAGCAAGCGGACTGGCGCTGGTGAGACGGCTTCGAGCCTTACGTCCTTGAGAAGACAGTTCGCTGACACTACCCAACCGATGTCTTTGCCGAGAGCTTTGAATAGAAGCGGTGATGTTCCATGGCATCTGGGACGAGTGGTCGTCAAACAGACTCGAGGGGGCATCACGGCCGATTTCAACTTCCATGTTGAAACGGTCCATGTTCTCACGGCTGAGGTGCTCGGCTTGTTCGTCTCTCGCACGTACTCGACGTCCCCCTGATATTTCATTGTCATCTGCGCTGCGCTTTCGCCCTTTTCGCTGAGGGTATCCACCAACTGCTTTAAACAGTTTCTCGCCTGAGAAGAGGCTGAGTGGATGCGGTTCGCGGTCCATTCCCAATCCGACTCCAACCGAGCCGATTCCCTGACCGAAAACCCAGAAAGCAGCGTTCTTCTTCGAAATGGTTGGAATCTTATTTTGTTGCTTTTGTTTCATTGCTTGGGTCATGTTCGCAACGTATTCATTGTTCCATTGAGCCATCGTCATATTTCGAAGCGCCGTGGTGTCGTCGGAGATTATTTCCTTTGGGCGTGTGACCCGGCGGGTCCTCGTTACTTCGATTTCAATTGTTTCTTCAACCCCATCCAGGTCTTCATTTGCCTGGGGAATTGTCGGACCTGCGGTTTGGGTATCGAGCTCCATCATGTCGTTGGTCTCGGCCACTCTAACTTCTTCGTTATCAATATGCATCTATCGAGCAGAGTTAGGGGCCGTCTTTTTGGTTTTGGCGTGGATGTTTGATACTCGCCGAGTCTTCATAGAGCTGGTGTTTTTGGTCGTCTATCGGTCCTTCACTTTCCCTCGGATCAACGGTGGACTTCCTTGCGTGAGGGGACTTCTCTCTAGCACCAAGCTCGATGATATTGCCATCCTCGTCAAATTCAAAGTCAGGCTGAAGGAGTACACCCTCTTCATTGCCTAATCCTAGCCCGGTCATGTTACGGAAAGTATATTGCTTCTGCGCAGACCTATTGATCTCATCAATCCCTAGGATAGTACCCTCTCCCAGGATATCATCCGATGGGAGCTCAAGGTGCAGGCTTGAAAGTTGAGAAGTGCCAGACAAGCTGTTATTGGGCGACTTGGTCCAGAGACCACTAAGTTGACTCGAGCTATCGTCCGTTGTGGCAGTGAAGTAAGACAAGTCAATCTCAAGTCCCGGGAGAGCTGTCTCGGGAAGGAAGGACGGGTCGTAAGGTAGGATCAGATTGCTGGGCCTGGGATGAGGTTAGCATTCAATCAATGTCTCATAAACTGATACCACCAATCAGTGGGACTTGCCTGGTTTGTCCGGCGGCGGGATCAAGCCCACTCCCTGGGATGATCTTCAACTTGGAGACCATCTTGTCATGCATGGCCTGTGTGTCAAGTAGCGTGTACCCACACTGTTGATTATACACTCGAGAAACACCGTACCTAACACAGGTAAGTTGTTAGCATCCTCGTTGAAAGTCACTGAGGGGCAGGTCTCACAGCAAGCTCCCCTGCAGTCGAAGGGCCATGGGTGCGTCTGGATTGATAATAACTCGGCATGCATTGGGGACATCCACGTCCAGGATGGCTTTTCGGTTCAGTCTTCTGGCAATTGACCGGGATCCCAGCGTTGCGACTAGCCTGTGGAGAGCGGATTATTAGTCCTAGCTGTGAAATCGTGGAAGCTCTGGGTGCTCTTACCATATCGTTGCGACACCATGCTCTGGCGAGGTGAGGACTAGAGCGCGACAAGCAGGTGAGCATTTGGTCCGACATAACGATTTATTACAGGACCTTCCGACTTACTTTCGTGGCTGTAAAACATGGCTGCGGCCCAAGTGGACTCGAGTGACCCCCAGGCCCTCGAGTCTCCACACGGTTTTGATTTTCAAATGCGGGTTAGGGGTGGTGTGATAGGATTGGGCGAAATGCTTTTTGTTGAGATTGGAGGTTGGAGAGGAAGATATCACAGCTGTTTGCTCGTGGGCCCGAGTAATGTGTGGGCGATTTTGGAGTAGTTTTGGATGAAAGTGAGTGAAAGGTACGATCAAAGTGCCGTCGATGAATACGGGTGATATGACTACGGAAAAAGAGGATACAAGGAGATGGACAAAGTAGAGGGTTGATGTGTGAGGGTGTGCAAGTCCCAGACTGAGCACAAGACCCTTGAGGCTGAGGTGAACAGATGCGTTATGCATCCCAGCATATGTTCCACGCTTACAGCTACAGCACAGACAAGCTCGGGTCAAAGGTTCCAATCAACATATATTGTTTTCTAATTTACAGTCGATTGAACAGATTCCCCATTCCCCATTCCCCATCGTTCAATAAATCAAATCGAGTCGTATGTAGTCCTGGGATAGAGAACAACTCGCCAGGGACTAGGCCAAACCCCAACATTAGAAGAAAGAAAAATTTACTTTTCTTGAGACTCTTCGAGAAATCATATGTCAGCTGAGCACAAGGGGACGAACAACGATGAGCCGCTCGAAAGGAGACAGCAGAATTCTAGGGAGCAAAAATGGAACAAGACCAACAGAAACCGCACTCTTTTGACACAAAAGTATAAGCGTAGACATAATCAACTATGGAAGATCTGAAAATAGATAGGAAAAACCCAGAAATCCCCAACCCAGAGCGATGTATAGGATGCACGGAGGGTATGAGACAAAAGACATGCAAGAACAACACACGAACACACCCTGATAACTACTCATCACTGACTTCAAGTGGGAGTTTAGTCGAGAGGAATACCCTCGTACTCGGAGTAGCCAAGAGCCAGGTTCATGTTTTCTATTTGGTTTGTTAGCATCATGGCTGATGGTCTATTGGATGGATTCGACACTTACGCAAGCACTGGGTGGCGGCACCCTTCAGCAGGTTGTCAATGGTGGCGCAGACAACCACGCGTTCGCCGCTGGAGTGGACGGCGAATCCGCCGATCTCGACACCGTGGCGGCCGGCAATGTCCTTGACAAGAGGGGCTTCGCCCACGATCTTGACGAGCTTCTCACCAGCGTAGCGATCCTGGTAGAGGTTGCGGATATCGCGGGAGGTCATCTTCTGCTTCAAAGGAATGCTGATAGAGTGCTTGATATAAGTGTTAGCAATTGTGAGCATTAATGGGCAGCTAGCAGGCACTTACAGAGATACCCTGGAACCAAACCGCGACGTGAGGAATGAACGCAATGCTAGTACCCAGCTGTGCGCTGATCTCACGCTCGTGGATGTGGTCAGTCAGACTGTAGGGGATGAGGTTGTTGGTAAGGAACTGCACGTCGTTCTTGGGGCTGGGCTTGGTACCCGCGCCGGAGTATCCAGAGACACCGAAGGTGGTGGGCTGACCGCCGAGGAACGGAACAAGAGGAGCAATTCCAAGCTGAGCAGCAGTGGCGTAGCATCCGGGGTTGGCAATGCGAGTAGCCTGGGCAATCTTAGACCGCTCGACGAGCTCGGGAAGACCGTACGTCCACTTAGGGTCGAAGCGGTAATCAGCGCTCAGGTCAATGATGACGTTACCCGTCTTGGAACCTTCGTCGACTGCATCGACAAAAGGCTTGCAAATACCATTGGGCAGAGCCATCACCCAGCAGTCGATGTCACCGTTGGCAGACATCTTGCGGACATCCTCAGGGCTGAGATTCTCGTAGATGATCTCGCGCTTCTCGTAGCCTTGGAGCTTCTTACCGGCCAGCTCACGCGACGAGACGTGACGAAGATCCATGTTAGGGTGCGCATTGAGCAGGTTGATCAGGGCCTGGCCGGTGTAGCCACGGGCACCAATGAGAGCAACTTTGGCGGGCTGGGTGTTGGAGATGTTCTTCTCTCCAAGAGGAGGGTTGGGGTTGGTAGTGGCATAGGTGCGGAAAGAGTTCACGGCAACGGTGGGACGCTTGGCACGGGTCATGCGCAGAGCGTTAGTGGCAGTTGAGAACCCACGCTTCTGCTCAGCAGAAGCACCGCTAGCGCCGAAACCCTTGCCAATGTTGGCGGCAGCCTCAGCAGCACGGTGAAGGCGCGCCTCAAGGTTAATGTCACCAAACATCTGGCGACCGTGTGCGTTGAACTCCTGAACCAACTGCTTAACTTCCTCGCCGTTCTCGGCGCCGTACCAGAACAGGACCTGGCCATCACGGCTCAAGCTACCATCGGCCTTGTCGAAGAACCAGGTCAGGTTCTCATCGTCCTCTTTGACAGTCCATGCCAGCTTGGGGAAGTCCTTCTTGATGCTGGCGAAGACGTTGTCGGCAACGTTAGTCAACCAACCAGACTTGGTGATGGTGAAAGTGGCCAAGTGAGCCATCTGGGAGTTGGGTTGAGGAGGCAGCACAACGGCCAGAGCTTCCATAGGCTCGTCGTAGTAGATCTTGAAGTCCTTCTCCTTCATGCCCTCGACGTAGCGGTCAACAACAGCACGAGCATCAAGACCCTCGCGGTCACGGATCAACACCTCCTTCAGAGCCTTGAGGTCTCCAAACTCGGATAGAGAGGTCTTCACGTGGATCTTGTTACCACGGCGGATCAGGGTACCAGCACCGGAATCAGTGAAAAGTTCCTTCTGGAGATCGGCAGGGTGAATGATTGCGACGCTAGACGAGCGAGGCAGATCGCTGAGGAGATCCTTCATCTCCTTGATCTTCAGGCGAGTGCCGTGGCGCACCCACCACTGAGTCATCAGGTGGTCGTACTCCTCGTCGAGGTTGATGGCGGAGATCTTCTCGCCCGTGTCACCGTTGAACAAACCGCCCTTCTCAGCAAGATAGACGATCTTCAGGGGCTGCAAGGCGCGGGCAAGCTCACCGGCAGCCACATCAGCATTGACATTGAGCACCTGACCGTCGGGGGTCTCAGCCATGGAGGTCAGGATGGGCAGGCATCCAGCGGCAATAGCCGACTCAATGGGTGCCTTGTCAACACCATTGATCTTACCGACCAGGTTGTACTTGGGCTTATCGAGGTAATCGGCCGAAAAGACGCCTGCGGTAATGGGACGGGCACGGATACCGATGCGCTCAAGCTCCTCGACCAGCTTCATGTTCTCCTCCAGGAAGAGCTTGCGGGCGAGGGCCAAGGTCTTACCATCAGTCACTCGGATTCCATCCTCGAACTGAGGCTCAACGCCGGCGGCCTCCAGCATGCGGTTAAGCTGGGGGCCGGCACCGTGGACAACGATCGGGTACAGACCGACATGGTTCAGGAATGCGAGCGCGGATGACAGGGTCTGCAGGTGCTCAGTAATAATAGCGCCACCAACCTTGATCACGGCGAATTGCTGAGAGGACACGGAGGTGAAGTGTGACAGGTACTGCTGGACCTCGCGCTTCGAGCCAATATTGCTCAACAGTTGCACAACGGTGCTGCGGGTGGAGGTCAGGTGAGGATCCGTCGAGCGGGAGTAGTGGCGAGTCTGGCGCAGAGAAGTGGCAGTCTTTGCAGCTGAGACTCGCAGAGGAGCAGTCGGTGCGGAGAGAGAACGGAGGGGCTTGCACGAAGCTCTCCGCACAGCGGAGCGAAGGGACATCATCTTGGCAACGCACATGCGGCAGCCTCAATGGTCTCACGGTTCGGCCCTGGGTGGGAGAGGCCCCAAATATGTATAAGTAAGTGGAAGGTAGGTGGAAGGTGAGAAAGTGTTGAGTCAAAAGAGATATTTTTCAGATCATCGGCCGGGCCTCGGAGCGATAACTTGGCCCAATGACGGGGAGAAGGCGGTGGACCCCCTCTCTAGCGAGCGATTTATCTCCATCTTTCTTTTTTTACATGCGACATTTAATTCGTACTTTTTTTTGGATCATGGACCTATTACAACTCTTATTTTCATGTCTGATTTGAATGATTTCCCTTGACTACTTTTTGTTCTACTCCGTACTGTTGTATATGTTGCAGAATATTAACATTTGTGTGGCGCAATAACCGGGACCAAAAAAAATAAAAACCATAAAAAATTCACTTCTCCTCGGATATCAACCTTGGAATCTCCTTAGACTTCCTCAAGCGAGAGTACCTAGGTATTACCTCCGAAAAAGCCCACTTCTTCTGCTCGGAGATCGTGAAACGTCATCCTCCTTTGGTTTAGTCTCAGTTATCTGATCCTGTCCCTTCCTCTCACTCGTTACATTAGGTCACCGCTATCCACTTCCCTCCACCCTGGATGGATCTAGTACTCTGCGCTTCCTGCCGACGGTATATACGAGGGCTTTTCCAAGTGGTCTAGTTTGAGCAATTGGTGGACACTTGTTCTCGTGCCAAGAGTTCCCAGTATTATCTGATTTTTCCTACCCTTGCTCAACATCCTTCGGTAGATGAATTCCCGAAGGATTCGTCAGGAGGTGCAAGAATTGCGCTGCTGCACTATGGGAAGAGACCCACGGTGGGAACATTTAGATCAAGTTATATTAATGAGTAGACACCTGATGCTAAAGGGTTTGGGCATACAAAGTACATTACGGGTTCCTTGCAGGATGCTCTCATTGGCGAATTGGACCTTCACAGGATGGGTCTTGGGCCACGTGGACTCCCAGGTGTGTCAGCAAATAGCCTCGTACATGTACAAAATAGGAATTTAACAAAATCGAAAGGGAGACCTTTCAATCTACTTACTGTCAGATTCAGTGGCTTTCTTTCATCAGCCCTTGTGCACACTCATACGAAGACCGAGATTTGACGGACGAGTATGTATCCACAAGAGTGGATGTTGTCTTTGCTCCTCGGAGTGTGGATCTACACTCACGTTTTACATTGTATAACTACATGGTTATGGAGCCATTCAGGTATCGAAAAAAGAGCATAAAAGCACAAGGAGATTCATTGTAGTGAGAAAGCCACCCGAATGGCAATGTGGTAAGCATACTTAAACACGGCGTCATGGAAGTATCATTTACATCTTCACCCGTCGACCGGGTCGCATGTAGCGACACAACCCAAAATCAGATGATCTCGTTTCGTTGCATGGAAAAGTCAAAGAGGATTTGGTCATTGAAAACACGCCCAGAAAAAAACAGCAGGAGGTATTAGCGGCTGCGAAGAAAACGGAAAAGGCCACACGGCCCCAACAACAGTAAGCCCAGTAAAAGTCAAGATTCCATGTCCAAAGAGAAGTCGTAAGTTGCGCACAGTTGAAGTGCTTAGTGCTTGGTGGCAACCACTACATACGGTGTTAGTGGCGAGCTGATAAGTCAGGTAAGGAAATGCCAGGAAGTGCTTACCGGACGGCACAATAATGACAATGAGAAGAACAATCACGCAAATGACTAGACACACGCGCATCTTCATGTCCTTCCACCACATGTCTTTGCGCACGCGATTGGCACCACGGCGGAAGCCCTGGGCTGAGACAGCGAGGTTGTCGGTCTTGTCCTGGAGAGAATCCAAGTTCTCGCCACGTTGAGAGACTTTGTTGATGTTTTCGCGCATCACACCGACGGTATCATCAATTTGCTATAGAAGATACCATGTCAGCCCTATTCCGGGAATCAACCGCCCCAGCCTTCGCATTTTGACATATCAACAAGACAACAAGCATGCGCCATCCATCAGATGACGCTTGTATGTTCTTTCAATGGCTGGGATCGCTAGGAGTCAAGAGACCGTTGAGGATTGACTTACTGCTTGCAAAGCAGCGGTTCGCTGGTTGCCATTCTGCCCAGTGGCAGCCGGTGCTCCAGCGGAGCCGGAGGGGATATAGGGATCGTAGGGTTGTTCGGAGGCAGCCATTATGAAAGTCGTGAAAGAATTTGAAAAAACCTCGGGTTTGGATTGGCCGGAGATTGGGAGTGTCTAGACGACCTCGGAGAGCACTAGGGGTTGCGCTATTTTGATGGGGAAGCGCAGCAAAGGGGGAGTCTGGGGGACTAAAATCGACAGAGATGGTGGGTATAGAGCAATAGCTATCGTAGGATGATAGAGATTGGGATGTAGCGCAGCGGCGAGTGACGGAGGAGAGAATGGATTAACGTTGTTGTCTGAGTGAAGCTGACAAGTTGCCGCTGAGGCGGCTTTGCCCAGAGTCACGTGCTGTGGCGTTCTACTATGTAGGCTCCCATCTTTGTTGTCTTGAATGTTAACTAATTTCAAGTCTCCAGCCATGAGCAATTATTATTTGTGAAGGGTCATTTACATCCTTAATTCAGCCTAGATAGTTCAGAGGTGCCTATCCAAGTTTAACACTAAATGAGATATATTTACCCCAAGCAGGCGCAAAGTGAGAGTTACACTATCATGTAGTTATATATAGACTTTGGTATGATTTGAACCCACTTTGGCCGTGCAACTTTTGTCCTTTCCGCTACCTTCCTATTAGTCAACGCCTCCTACCACCTTATTCTCTACCCTTGCGTATCCGTAACTACCTAGGTACGCCCTATATTAGCTTGTCAGGACCCCAGTTGAGAGCCTTGGTGCCTGGGAGCCTTCGGATGATTCAGGCAGCAATGCCCAGGTGTTGCTGCCTAGTTATGTAATCCAGAGGTCACCTGGGCAACTCAGGCCGCTACCGGCCCAGCCCTGGAGCCCTGGAGTACCTGAGCGCCCTTTACGAGAGAAATACCTCTGTTGTAGCAATCAAATGGCATCTTTCGACCGCCCGGGCGCTAACGTATTTCACATGCGAGTGGCCCACACAAGCGAGTGGCCCA